CATTTTTTATTCCAATGCGAAGCTTGTTCTTGATTATTTACAATATGATGTTATTTTGATAGAGTTAATTATCGGCGACGTCAAGGTTTCTTAAAAATGCTTCCATACGTTCCATAAATGCGTTATAAATTAAGATCGAATCACCCATTTTTGTTACTCTATAATGGAATATTAATTAGCTGATAAAATATACTTAGGTTTCTAGTTTTGTTTTTACCTACTTTTCTGATGAAATTGTCATGGTATCATGCGAAACACATCCAAAACATTACTTATACTCTTTAAATATGCATCGACTTGCTCGTTTAAAGCATATTTTTTAAGTTTTGAGGAGTTTGTCAGACATTTTTAATCAGAAGCCTTCTCTATCTCCAACCACCCATTAATCATCTCAAAGATACTTTTTCAACGTGTTCGTGTATCATACTTCAAAACAAGATACCTTTCTTTTATGTAACTAGTAGTGAACTGGTGCTTGTACGATGTGGTGAGATTCCCTGATTTTTTAATTTAAAAGTTATTAGCTCACAGTAAACCTTTCAAATATATCACATTCAAATACCTGATCGTAAAAATTCTACGACACATCTTAAATATGGGGTCCTTATCATAATTGAATCAACCGTCATTCGGGTCTTCATCCACTTCAGAGTCACCATCATCATTAACCTGTATGCGTTAATATTCCCCCCTAATACCAGATTGACTATCTACTTGTCTTTCGTTCTCCTCGGCGGCATGACGCATTTCCGTGTTGGCTGTGGCGGTAGATCCAAAACCTGTTTTCAAAAGCTGTTGAAGACATAAATTGATAACAAGAAGGAGAAATGGATGAATGTTCTTTTTCTTTTAAAAAAAGTTTCCGTTTCCAATGATATTTTTCCTAAAGAAGCCCCTATCGTTAAGTTGTTTGTTCCGTTATGACAAACAATGAATGCAAGCTTCGACCGGAAATTGTAATCATCACGAACCCTCAAAAATAAGGCAGCCAAATATTCGCCAGTATGTACATCACTAAATACTTCTAGCCGAATAACAACTGACTTATGCCCCCATTTTTGCATTATTATAATGAGCAACTAGACCCATGTAACCCTGTCCACTGGAAGATGTCCACATTTTGGTCGAGAAAGAAGTTGATTGTTAATTTTGTAAAATTTGTTTAATCATCATTTTTCTTCCAGTTATCCCTTCGAAATTAGTGTCTTTACAGTTTTGTCTGATGGGAGACTTATTGTTGTTGGTTTTGCTGCTTTTCGGGACGTGTTTAATAACTCTTGAAAATTATTATTGTCTATTACGTTGATCGGCAATCTTTGATGGATTATAAAATTGATGAGTTTCCCCTGGAAAATAAATCTGTCGACAGGCTGTTGAAAAAGGGACAAGAATGAAACAATTGATGATGTGGTAGATGCTTGATTTAAACGAGCTAAATATTAATGTAAGTATAAAATAGTAGGCAAAATTTAAAAAGTTCATTACCTGTCGTCTTTGAAAGACCATGAACATCCTCTAAATGTCTTCTAATTGCAGAGGTATTCGAGTCTTTGGACTCGTAATGCTTATGACATCCATGGGTACCATCAAAATTGCACATATAAAATGTCTTGTTGCTAGAATCTTTAATTTTGATTGAGTGGCCATACTGATGTACGTAGCTGGTATTATTTCGTCTGCTTGGAATTACTACACCAGGAGTTGGCAAGTAATGGACACGGGATAAAAGCTCCAGATTTTTTTTCTTGTACAGACTACCCTCGTCTGCTTTTAAGTATCTGCATTGAATCCAAACTAAATCATCAGATTGCTGGCTGACATTGGATAACAAGGCAGGAATAGATAAATCTTGATCGTCTTGACGATCACTAATCGCAGACAGATCATTCTCACCAGTGCTATTTTTAAAACTTAAGAAATAGCTCGTATCACTGATTGATAGATCTGAGTTTCCAGCTAATTGGTTACGGTACTGAAATTAAGTTTAGAATATAATGCGAAAAATAAATAAGCTTTACACTTCCCTTTATGTACGTTTACTAAGGTTCTGATGATTGTGTTATTTCCAATCTTTATGCAATAACCAGCATCTATTTTCACTCCAAAAGCTATGAATAACTTGACAGAATATTTCATAATAGAGAAGTTTTTGTTTGTAACAGTTGTAATTCCTGTGCTTGTACGCCATAATTGGCAATTTTTCCATAAACGGAGAATGTTATTGTTTTGTTACATTTCTGCAAGTGCGAAATAATTTCGTTCTAAGCTTTAAGCTGGAACTGCTATTGTAAGAATTGTAAAAAACTGTTACTACAGTTTTTAGAGTTTTCATTAGGATTGCATTCGAACATGTGTCACCATTAAAAACGAAAAAGAAGAAAAAAACCTTTTTTTTCACCAGGCTTAACACCGAATTCGGACACTTAAATCAAATTATGATTGCATCTTTGAATATAATACAGTTGGATTTGTGAACATGAAAGTTGGAGTCTATTCTGCTACATCATGTTACTATGATTTCTGTAAAAATTTGGCTTAGGTGGGTTTAGTGTGCAACATTGTATTGTCTCTATGCTGAATGTCTTTGTTGGTTGTACAATTAAATAATAATAATAGGTTAAAGCATTTTAGCTGGAAATTTTTGAGCATAAATAAAACAAAATGGTAAAGGGAAAAAAGAGTAAAGTCAAAGGAAAAAGCCATCACTTGTCTCTCAAGGACATTAACTTTAAAGTGACTACTATCGACATTTTAGCCAAGCGAGCTCGCTCGAACCCAAAAACGTAGCGCAACCTCGAGTACAAAAACTTTGTCTGAGCTTCGTTCGAACTGGCGCAAGATCGGTGCAAGCTCTAAACGTTCGGACACTACTAGCTACCACGAGTGTTTAGGTATTTCAAAGAGAACTCATTTTAAGTATACCAAACGCCTTCGCTGACACAAACTCAAAAGCACAAAAAACTGAAACTGGCCGGCAAGAAATAATGTATTTCTTCATCACTGAAATAAGGCTAATACATTGCGATAATGCTATGTTCGTAATTATTATACCCTGTTGCAATACGTTTCAGTACAAAAACACGAGTGTTACCCAGTAAATGTTATCCTGTTTTAAATCCCCATTGAACTCATATAAAAAAGCAGCTGTGGTAAATTTCTCAATCACTTCCATAACTGATTTTCGAAAAGGTAAAAAAAATATATAAAACTTTATTTCTTTTCAAACAAAGAAAAGAAACGTTCTCTGTCCGCGGCCACCCCTACAAAATAGAAAATAGATGGTTAGTAAAACTATTAAAAAGAATATTGAAATTTAAGACTTACGGTCTTCATCAAGGAAATCCAAGATGTCCTGCTCCTCCTGCTCCTCTTTGGCCTTTTGAGCGGCTGAGGGTTTAGGCTTTGCAATAACCCGACCAGGAGGAGCACGAGCAGCAGGGACAAGGAGACCGCTGACAGAGACGCAACCAAGACCGTAACTGTGCGACGGCACAGGGGAAGAGGAAGACGAAGACAGGGAGGCTTTTCTCTTTTCGCCCAAGTCAGGCAGACTTTCCTGTTCGTCCACCGAAGAAGACAAGGAAGCCAAAAAAGGAGCAACACGAGAAGAGGGCACCACAGGCAGTATTGGCACCACAAATGCAGCCACAGAAGCCGGGAGAGAAGACGAGAAGGGAGCAGAGGAACCCACAGAGTCAGAGGCAGTGGAGCTAGGAGCAACCGAAGAACCTACAGATCCCAAAAGAGGCAACGAGGAGGGCGCAGAAGAAGCCAAAAGAGGGGAAGAGGAAGGAAAAGAAGGACCAGCAGAGACCACACGAGACGCAGAAGGGGAACCAGGAGAGCACACAGACTCCAAGGGAGACGAACAAGGAACGGACAAATTACCCACACACCCCAAGAGAGGCAAGGAAGAGGGCGTAAAAGAAGCCTCCGGCGCCAAAACAGGCGAAGAAGGGGTAACAGAGTCACCCACATATGCCACAACAGGCGAGGAGGAAGGAGCACACGAAGACAGGGAAGCCGATACAAGCGACAAAGGATCTATCGATTGACCCTCAGTGGCCAAAGAAGGTGACGAAGACCCAACGGAAGTACCCACAGAGGTCACGCTAGCCCCAGAGGCCACGGAAGCGCTCGAGAGGGAAACAGAAGAATCCAAAGAGTCCAAGAGAGCGGTGCAAGGAGCAACAGAAGGACTTACAGACCCCAAGAGAGGCTTTGAGGAGGGCGAAGAAGAGTCTACAGAGGCCGAAAGAGGCGCAAAGGAGGAAGCACACGCAGACACCGAAGCCAAAACGGACGAAAACGAAGAACCAGAGTGACTCTCGCTGGCCAAAGAAGTTGAAGAGGACGCAGCAGAAGATCCCAGAGAGGCCAAGGGAGACGAAGAAACAGCAGCAAAAGAAGCTACAGAGGTCGTGGGAGCCACAGCGTTGGCAACAGAAGAACACAAAGGGTTCAAAGGAGAGGCGCAAGGAGCAGCAGAAGGATCTATGGACCCCAAGAGAGACAAAGAGTTAGACGCAGAAGGATCCTCAGAAGGATCCTCAGAAGCCAAAGGAAGCGAAGAAGAGGGCGCACACGAAGAGACCGTAGCCAAAACAGGCAACAAAGGATCTACAGAGTGACCCTCAGATACCAAAGAAGGCAAAGAGGAGCAATCGGAGAAACCCACAGGGACCAAAGGAGACACAGAGATGCCCGCAGAGGGAGCCACAGAAGCCAAACGAGGCGAAGGGAAAACAACAGGACCAGAAGAAACAGCAACCTTGTTCTCAGAAAGCCATGCCTGGGCGATGGCATCGCAACCATATACCCAGGAGGCAGAAACACGCGGGCGGACAAAAGAAGAAATACTTCGATCAGGTATCGACGCCATACCGGGGCCTAGACAAGGCCCGCTTGCCCAACAAGGACACCAAAGAACAGAACAAGGGACATTTTTTTGAGCTTGAGTGGTAGTGGCGTTTGGGGAACGGACCACACTCTCGCCAGATCTACCAAAAGCAGACAAATCGATGTTTGTGCTGTTGTAGTTGCTGTTGCTGTTGCTGTTGCTGTTGCTGTTGCTGTTGCTGTTGCTGTTGCTGTTGCTGTTGCTGTTGCTGTTGCTGTTGCTGTTGCTGTTGCTGTTGCTGTTGCTGTTGCTGTTGCTGTTGCTGTTGCTGTTGCTGTTGCTGTTGCTGTTGCTGTTGCTGTTGCTGTTGCTGTTGCTGTTGCTGTTGCTGTTGCTGTTGATGTTGCTGTTACTGCTATTGTTGCTGTTGCTGCTGCTGTTGCTGTTGTTATTCATGCTTTTTTGGCATGACACGGGCATGATTACCCCGTCGAAAAGAACACATTTTTCCGGTAGTTCCCAGAAAGGATGAATGGTTGGTGGTCTTCTTTTTATTTTGACGCGTAGCCAAAGAAGACGAAGAAAAGGAGCTACATTTTCCTGAAGGAGAGCAAAGAAAAAACCCAAGAGCGTTACCGCGAAGAAAAGAGCAATTCGCAAATGAAACAATAATCTGAGCAATGTAAAGTTAGAATTATTCTGTAATTCCTGTCATTTTAAAATGTATAAGAAATACTTACTCATCAAGCAGAAAAAACACGGTCATTTTTAAAACTAGGCTTTACAAACAAAAGGAAAAAGAGAAAAATAAAAATAAAAAACAGCCCTTGCTTTATGAATAAACAAATGCTGCGGCAAAACGTGACGGTGTCATCGGGATTTGAATTATAGTTTTTTAGTACGCTTCAGCGTAGTTGTGCTATCTTTTTTTTTTATACTTGAGAAGTTACGATTTTTAAGTTTGATAAGTTTTAAATTAATCATACGCAAAAAACAACTAGTGACAAAACCACAGCCCGAGATTTATTTTATTTTAGTAATCGTCAATTTCACCCCCTATACACTTTTTTTTTTGTAGGGAAAGACAGCGCAGCTGTCTTTCAAAATTTTATTTAATGTCCCGGTGGGACTAAAGAGGAATTGAGTTTTAATGGGGAAATGATTTGTTTTTCTTTTTCTTTTTGCTTTTTTTTTTTCCAAAGTGACGAAGAATAATGTCAACGAGTTACAATTAGGACAACAAACGCGATCAAAGTAAATTGTGAATGAATTTACGTTGTTATTAATCGACCAGCGTTTGGAAGTGCAATTGCCATACAATAGGAGAGCAGATTGGGATCACCGCGATAATTGTGAAGGTTGATCGTCAAAGACAAGTTTTCAATGAGATTTCCAGATCCCGAATAATATGCAGCCATTAATGCGGATTAAAGATAAGGAAGTGGCAACAGTAGATTTCTTGTTTTGAAAGTCACCATAATCAAGCGAAAGGAATATAGATAGTATTCTACCACGTTCGATTGGCTCGTCTGGAAGGAAGGTGGATAAACACTGGAGCCAAATAAATGGTTTTGTGAGACAATCATATAAAACGTGGTGTAGAGTATCCTCAGTTTGTGGACAATGAATACAAGTAGCAGAAGGAAAAGATTCCGGGATGATATTGTGCAAGAGATATTTGTTGGGCAAGATGAATTGCCATGTACCATACCATAAAAATGCAGGGAGGAATCGATAGACTCCAAAACATTTTCCATTTGTTTAAACTAAAGGCGGTAGTGAGTTTTGTAGGGAACTGAGAGTCCCGCAAGATTACTGCCAATTGCTTAGGTTTATCGAATGCCAGAATATATGTAGACATTTGTGACTAAAGAATGTGACGGAGATTAATAGTTCCAGTGGTGTCTATACTGGTACCCAGGAGATGTTCGAAATTACTGGTAGGCTGAATATACCCTTTTGTTATTGTTACCCAAAATTTACAAAGTAGTGTAGGGAATCTAGTATCACGATCGGATCACTGACGAAAGATATGTGTATGAGGGTCCACAATGAAGAAATCGCATACGAAAGTCTTAGACATACTGGCACTGTTTGTAGGGAAAACTACAGACATAATTGACTCAGAGGCCGGTATAAAAGGGGTGTTGGGAGCAGGCATGACGATTGAAGCTAGATCCAATTGAAGAAACGTAGTCAACGACAAGTTAGACTGTCTAAAATTATAGTCCGGTAAAGAATCCATTAGAGAAAAGAGAATTTTAAACGAATTCGTTGTTAACTGGCGAAACCCCTGGCTTTTTGTTGAGAATAGAAGTGGCCAGATGTAAGAGGATGAACCTCCCAATGCGATGAGAGAGAGACCAAATTTGAGATATGGAACATTGGTGTGTAGAAACAATTGATGATAATCTTATGGCAGTTGTAGCACTGTGGGATCAATAATCAAGTCAGCTAGCCAAAGCTGGTGTAGTTTTAGTTGTTGAAATAAAGGATCTGAAATGCCAACACCGCCTTTTGTTTTATAAGGAACGAACTTTTTGTATGCGATTCTTGGAAATCGAGATACATTAAGAAAAGTGCTACAGAATCCACGTAGATGATCGATTTGGCCTTTTGTCAGAGGAACTATGCGTATAAAATGCCATAATTTTGAAAGGAGAAGGGTGTTGAGATCCACTGTTTGGCCTTTGATTGCTAGGTTACGTTCAAAGTGTATTTCACACCGACGTTCGATCTTTTGTATCAGAATTTCAGTCGCTATGATTTTCTGAAGAAGCGTTAAAGTATAATGGGTAGCCCAAATAGATAAGTGCATTAGGAGAATGTCGATCATGCCATGAGGTGATGGGTGTCTCCCGTGAATGCAAATAAGCCGTCCAATACGGACTTGCTGTACCTGACAATGTGAACGCTTGAGTCTTAGCAAAATACAGTTCTGTGTTGGAAGCGAGAGCATATTTGGTAATGAGTTGTTCTAAGTAATTGAAATCTTTATGTTCCCCTAAAAACACCATAGTGTCATCCGCATAAGCCTTCACTTTTAAAGGTTCAGGAGATGGTTCAAATATTAATGATGGAAAACTAAGGCCTTGGAAATTGGTTGCCTGTTTCATGGATCGAAGGAAGGGATCAAAAGTTATATTAAACAGCAAAGGTGAAATAGGATAGCCTTGTCTCAGACCTCGTCGTTATCGAACTGGTTTAGACAGGTGTCCATTTATATTAATATAGATTTCTGTAGTAAAAAAACAGCGCGCACAGTGACGACATTATCGGGCTAGGAATTCCAAATTTGTTCATCATTCGGGCGAGGTATGTTGGATGAATTCGATCATAGGCCTTCTCCTGGTCTAGTAATAGCCCAATGGCTTTAGAAGACGTGTGCTCAGCGATAGACATTACCGTTTCCAGAGTTTTTCCATTTTCGCCAATAAACTAGCTAGGCATAAATCCTATCTGTTGTGGACTGATCAAGTCATTTATGAACATCATCAGGCGAGCGTTCAGCATACGTGTGAATAATTCGGCATCCCTGTTGATAAGCTTAATTGGTCTATGATCATAAGATTTGTGAGATCTCCTTTTGTAGCAAGGAGAATCTTGCACGTCTTGTTCCAATTGAGAGGAAAATACTCTTTAAAAGAGCATCATTGTACACTTACAAAGACACCTGTATTGCAGCAGCATTATGTAAAACATGGAACAGGATTTGATACGGAATATCATCTCTACCTGGACTACTTTATGGAGGAGACCGTTTAGTAGCGTCCAGTCAATTATCTTCCGTAAATTCAGATACGAGATATTCACATTGACTGTCGTCAAGTACCGAGCTATCGTGGATCGTCTCAGCCAGCAGATCAGTTACATTTAAGTTGATATTGTCTGGAGTGTATAATCTTTGGTAAAAAGAGTGAGCTGCGTCGGTCAAAGTTGCTGGACATGTACAAGATGCTGACGTGATCAGCTGTAGTAATTCAGGTATAAAGCTTTTGGTAATTTCAGTAGTTATAGAACGTTTCAGAAAGGAAGGTGAAGATTAACCTGTTTCCCTCCAAAACTTTCGAGCCGGCAAAGAATCTTTTTTAGTTATTTCCTCTTGTAATCCCTGAATCTTTGCTTCCACTTTGGAAAGTTTAAATTGTAAGACAGCTGGAGTCAATGACACATTAAGGGGTCTCAGTTTGAAAAAAAAAAGTTTCCCAAAAAAATTGGAAACTTTTTTTTATCCAATAAAATCGCTTTCCCACTTTTTCAAATTGAGACCCCCATATTTCCCCTGATAACTTTCCCATTTTATAAATGCAAAGAAAAAACCCGAAATTTCAAATCATTTCCACATTTAATGATCAAGTATGATTGTATCTATTAGTAATATACGCAATAAAAATTATAAATGTGTATCCGATAAGTCGTATCAATTTTAGATAAGATAGAAAAGTGGCGAACAAAGACATAGAATTAATGAGCATGTTTGCAACCAATATAACATCCGTTACTGATGACTTAATGTGATTTCAGGTCAGCGATTGGTTATTTGTGTATATCTTAAAAGTATAAAAGAACGAAGTTTGAACCTGGATCAATAATAGACTTCTTTAATACTATTAACATGACCAAGCGTACTGCCAATTCCAAGCCAACACCTGTCAACCCAAACCCAAAGCCAAGAGCTGTCAAGCCAAGAGCTGTCAAGCCATTAAAGACAACTACTAAACCAGAGGAGACACCTTCCAAGCCCATCACAGCTACCAAAACAAAGAAGGCTCAGGTTAAGTGGGAAACTGATGTAGCAGGCGATGATAATTTGTCATCAGATGCCCGCCTTCTTGTTTTCCTTTTGGATAATAATGCAAAAAACTTGAACCTTCTCACACCAACCAAAAACCAAAAGGCGCATATAGAGTTCATATGTCCAAGAGAAGATTAGCTTTAAAGTGTTTAGATTATTTTTGTGAAAAAAAAGTAACTTACCGTACGATGGAAGACATTCGTGCACGAATGAAGAAATACATGGTCGATTACAGTAAAGCAGGTTTACTTTGTTTGCAAACCGGAAACGGCGCAAAGGGAGAAACTAAGGATACTGGTTCAAAAGAATTCGAAAGTAAGTTGTAAAGAGTCAAAATGGGTACAGATTAAGTTATTAATATCTCACTTACATTAGAAATGGTTAAAGATGTCTTTCCTTATTATTATGAATTGGAAGAGTTTCTTCAAGATCGTCGTGTCGATCTCGGTGTTCCTGATATTCTAGGTGCCCAGGATTCTGAAGTGGAAGAAACTGTAGAAGATGAAGAAGATGAGACAAGACATGTTGAGTCTACTCCCACTGAAGTGCCTGTGAGTACCAATGTAGTGGAAACGGTGTCTGACTCCAGTGAAGATGAAGCCAATGTTGCTCCTCCTGTCAAGAAAGCAAAGAAAAGTTCTGGTGCTGCTACCTTCGACCAGGACTTCAAGTCTATTTTGGATGAACCCGTAGATACAACCATCTACAGTCAATTGCAGGAAAAGAAGCAGGAGATGGCCAAGATGAAGATGAAGGTGCAGCAACTGACTGAAACAAGGTTAATTCTTAGAACTTTGTTGAAGTCTGGTTTAGATCCTACCTCATCAATTGTTCAAGATCTCATGAAGAAAATCATGGAGTTATTGAATAACGCTGGCACATCTGAACCTGAAGCAGAGGCTTCAAATTTGTCTTAAAAATAAAAAATTATAATTTTCAAAATTGATATACTTCATTCATGCTTATTGGTTGCGTGCTAGTATGTATCGACATACTCCATCTCTTAACTGGATTCCAGTGGGAGAGTCTATGGTGGTGAAAGACATAGTTCCACGGTCCTCCTGTTCTTCTTCCGTGTTTCCCATTGCTTTTTCAATCAACAGAAGTCTTTCCGCCTTTCTTACCAATCTCATATCCTTAGGTTCATCGATCAACATGTTGTGTAAAATTACACAGACTTTGATCCACTGGAAAGCATTGGCCATATTGTCTATGTTCTTGATTTGTTGACGAATCATCCTCAAACTTCCAAATCTACACTTCAAGATACCAAAGCAGTGCTCGATGGCAATTCTTGTTCCAGAATGCATCTTGTTGAATCTCTTTTTTTCTGAATCTAATTCTCCATTAGGTGGCCTCTTATATGGGGGGATCATATAATGTGTACATCCATATGCAGAGTCTGCAAGGATGTACTCCCCATCGGCGAAATAACGTTCTGGATGAACCCCCATTGTTTCGGTAAATACACGCGAATCGTGAGCTGATCCAAAGATACCTGTAGCAAAGTACCTGATTCTTCGCTTATCATCACAAATGGCCAGGTTCTGAATGGCATAGCTTGCCTTTCGGGTATAAAACTCTTGGTCTCTCCACTTGGGTCGAAACTCCAAATCCATTAAAGAGCCATCTACAAACCCAACACAGTTTGGGAAACCAAATCGTTTCTCGTTGGCCTCTATTATTCGTTTTTTTTTTGTCTTCCTTCGGCCAACAAATCCACTCTTTGACATTGACAAAATGGCAATAAAAAAACGTTGGGTGTACGTCTGACAGTTCCTACTCCAATTCCACAATGCGTTGCGACGTTCTCCAAACTTGATCCACCTCCAGAAAGACCCAGTCGATAAAGAACAACAGCAACCTGGAAATGTACACTGCGTTGTTTTCTGGCAGCATCAGAGTCGTTATAGCAAATGTGGTCTTTTACTCTATCGCATATATTATAAAAGGCTTGCTTGGTTGGCATTCTAGTTTCTCTTCTAAATACTCTGTCAGTTTGTAGCATAAGCCACTCGAGATAGTCCCCTTTACGCTTATGAGAATGAACTCGCTTTAAGGCATATCTATTCTCATTCAAAAAACGCAATGCTTTCGTATATTTGTGTCGTTTTAATGATTCTTTGACAATTTTGGCACTAATTGCCTGAGATTCTTCATCGTCACTGTCATCATAAAGAATCTCGGTCAAGTACTTCTCCTCTATACGTAAGCAATCTTTTAGTTTCTCTACAAGTGCCTGTTTATTGCTGATCTTGGGCATTTTGTAACTTTTATTGAAAAAAAAATGGGAAAGAATTGTATCTATCTTTTCCCAAAAAAAGTTGGAAAGTTTTTTTGGGAAAGTTGAAAAAGTGGGAAAGCGCTTTGATTGGCTAAAAAAACTTTCCCAAAAATGTTTCCCATTTTTTTTTCAAACTGAGACCCCTTATTGTCTTCATATTCTTCGACATTATTGCTGCTTATGTCATTCATGATATCTGTTTGTAAAATTAGTTTGCGATGAAAGTTTTTTTTTTTAACAATGTGCATGAACCTTGTTCAACGGCAATTGCCTCAACGTTGGGAATGTTCTCTTCAACCTCATTCGTTCTTCGACGTTCTATTTAGGCTGTTAATATTTTTTTGTTTTTGACCTGAAGAAAGTAAGGACATGTCTTACTGTTGTTACTGCCAGACATCAGTGCATTGAAACGGATTTGTCTTTTAAAATGGTAGTTGTAGCTGGTGATACGGAGCTCGACTCCTTGAGGATTTTTTCTTAAGCATTGGTCGTATTTACAAAGATGAAGAATCATTCTGGCAAAAAATAATAAAAAATATCTGAAAGGGGAAAAAAGACCTTTTTTATGATGAGATGATAATTCTATTTTTAACTGTGAACCTTTTTTTTTTTCTTTTTTTTTGCTTTTTTTTGCTTTTTTTTAAATAAAGTTGCCGCCAGAACTACATTCCTCGTTATTAAACAGTGCATTTACGATCGAAAGTCTACATTATTCCTGATATCTTTATATCATATTAAAACAACCTGTTTTACTTTTAGAGCACCTAGCAGTGGGGCTTAATATGTAAAATTAAGGTTTTTGCCTCGAGCAATGTCCTGAACGTTTTGTTTGTCTTACCTTCACGTTTTCCAAAGTTGAAAATTGATGTAGCAACAATCATCCATTTTTCCTTCTTCAATAAAATAAACAATGCCAGCTATTTTGACAAGGAAGAAATCGTACAGAGAAAACAAAAAATATCTATCCCGGTACACACAACCTTTTTAGTGCTCTTAAGGGTAAGAGTTTTTTTTTAAGTGTAACTGCTGCAGTGCTCTTACTGTTCTGGTCTAACCCCTTATGTGATTTCATATGACCATCGATTAGAATTTATTGATACTACGGTCTCCAAAAACTACTTTAATATTGAATTTAAAGAATCTGTTCACTACAACGCGATACTGAGAAATTCGAGAGTGATAATAGCGAATTAAGAATAAAATGTGAAATTTAACAAAGTGAAATTATCAAACTGCAAAAATAAACTTAAGCTTTATTAAACAAATAAATGGGGGTCTTTATATACACATTATTTCAGACATTGATCACAGATGGGCTGATGACGGTTGTGGGTAGATTTATCCAGATAATACTCGGATGTAATGATCCCATATAGAAAGACCATAATGAGATGTCAATAACAATAACAATAACATTCATTCTTAAACCGTGTATGTCTTGTAGCACAACATTCAGGGGAAAATGTAGTTCTTATTAAAGATAGCTGTGGCACCTCAACGTGGCTGATGTAACCTTCATATGTTTTCATATTCATGTTATTATTTAAATGTATGCCTTATACTTGTATGAAGGATGATATGAGATCAAGCCTGTACATAAAGTAAATGATCAGTATTTAATATAAAGTACCAATAAGAATTATATTTAGGATTATCAAAATGGAAGATTTAAGAAGTGTAGATAGAGTCATATATTAAGTATATAGCCTCGATCCCGACAGATACCCATTTGAACGATTATTAGATATCATACACCATAGCTCCTTTTTGCGTACGACATCATTCTCTTCATTTTTCGATGGATTAAACCATTTAACCGGCTTCTCTTTTTTTCATAAAAAAAAGAGGTACGAATTTTCCAAACATCCTGCACCAGTTCCATGCAAATAGACACTGTTTCTTGCACTGAATATTAAGTTTCTGTTTCTTATAATTCTTGATTGATCTGAGAAGTTTCTCTTCTCGATCGGTGATATCGTAACTCAGCGGTACTGCTTTCTGTATCTAACTGTCATTCGTATATCGTATTTTGGCCAATTATGTAATCTTTAATATAGAAATATGTACTCGAAGTAGCAGACGTTGTGTAGCAGTATATATGTGTATGCTGGTATGCAACATTGAAGGCTATTTAAATTTTTTAGTGTTTTTATTTAAACGATTTGCTTAATTATTTAAAAGTGAATCGTACCCAAATACGACACTACTAACGATTAATTTTTCCATATCAATTTTCAACCTTACCTTTAACGTTTCACTTGGTGTTGTTCCTGCACGCATGAGACTAATTGCAAGTTCTTGATCTTCAGCCTCGAGCTATCTGTTGTTATAATACACCCTTCTATCCTCGCTCAAAGGGTGTCATGATCGTGTCACGCAGATACATTAATTTTGGCAAATTAAAATACCACCATATGCCAGATTATGGTTATAATTACTTTCACCCTTTCTGGCAGAACGATAGTTACGAAAATGCTTACAAATCAACTTAATGTAAGATTCGTCGCTTTTGAGAGTCTCAAAAGGGATATTCTTGGTCCTACCAAAAGACTGTATTTGAAGTCTTGCAGCTTCCTTGTCCAAGAATGATTTTTCAACTGGAAATTCGGCCTCAAAAGCAGCCTTCACCTCAATGACACGTACATTCTGCTGGACAGTCTCAGCAAATGAAGGGACATCTCATGTAGCTTTGACGCGGATATTCTCCTCTTCCGGGTCAGTAAGACATTCCCAGTCATACTGATCTGACAGTTACTCTCCAGCATCGGTTTGTTCCTCGTTTTGTTTGTCGAAGATCTCCTCGAAACTATTTTTCACTTCTTCAGCGGAGTTAATTACAGCCCAAAAAGTGTTGATTAGCAATTGGCTTTCATTCAAAGATTAGTGTGAATCGTTTGAATTCATTTTAAAATAAAAGTTTAAAAGAAAAAGAATAAAGCAAAAAAAAAATGTCGTGCGCGAAAAAAAGTATGGTGCGCGAAAACTTGCGGTGCGCGCCAACGTAAAAAGAGTATGGTGCCCCAGGGGAAAAGTATGGTCCGCCAGCGAAAAAAACATGATGCGCTAGAAGAATTTTTTATGTGTAAATATTATTTTTGGTCCGACCCGGAATATACAAGTTGACCGTCACAAAACACTATAATGCGCGAGAATTTTTTTCAAGCAAAAAGTATGGTGCGCGTAATATTAGCCAAAATGAAAGGACGCTCTTTTTGATGTTTTGAATGTCTACGTCACGCTTTTTGAAGTTTTTAATGTCTACGTCATGCTTTTTAGTATTTCTGGGTCGGTACTTCAAATCGACCTTGTAAATCGACCTTGTAAATCGACCGTGTATCAGTATTTACCCTTTTTTTTTTCTTGAAAGCCACATTATCTTACCATGAAAAACAAAAGATCCACGAAAAACTCTCAACTTAAGACAAAGTCTCATTCCGTATGTTTATTTGAACGATCTATTATAATTCACCTGAACTAACCCCGCGTAATTTTGAATCTAGAAGGATTCCAACATGGGCAATTCACCTCCACAAAAAGGAAAGAGAAAATCGCGTGATCAATCTGTTGATGTTGTCCCTAAAAAGCAAAAGCTGCGAGAAGAATCAACAACAGGTGTTATTAGTAGAGCACTTAGTTATATCAACTCCTTTGACATATTGTCCAACAGATCTACAACCGAGGAGAAACCTACGGTTGCTGCGATTGAACCAAGTGCCATTTGTGGTAGACCAAATGACATTAGTGGTAAACCAAATGACATTGGTGATGGTCCAAATGGTGAATCAAGTGGTAGTGGCGCCGATGAGTCATGTTTAAGTAGCGCCAATAAATTAGGTAGTAGTGGTAGTAGTAGTAGTATTGTGATTGATCTTTCGTCGGACGATGAAGATTTAGAAAATGAAGTAACGGATAGTGACAGCAAGTAGGTGAATTTTTTTTTCTTTCTGTTATCAAATGCTAACTGAGACTATATAGCATACTATTCCAACACGGCAGAATCTGTTTCTATAGCAGTGATTTAATTAGCTTGCAGCCTAGGAGATGGTTAAATGATAAGGTTATTGATGTTGCTTTGTCTCTTGAAAAGAAAACAAATGACGTACATGTTTTCGATTCGCAATTTTTTGCCAAACTTCGTAAAATATCCGAGTATGTAAATATTTAAACTTGTTGTTTGACATTTTATTAATCCACCCATTTATCTGAAAATGTAGATCTGATGGTATTCCTAAAAATTTTTATGCAGGCACCTCAGGCTGGTTCAGAAACCAACAAGTTCGCGACAGAAGATTCTGGCTAATTCCAGTTTGCGATCAGTAGGTTCTTTTATGTTAATCATGTTTCTGGATTCTTATTTTTTTTTAATTCTTTTTAGAAATCACTGGTATTTAATAGTCGTAACCCGCCACACCTCCCGAAAGTAAGCATTTATCACCATAACATAATTACATCGATTCTAACATTTTTTAATAATAAGGCCTGTGGTCATGGTACTGGACTCCCTCCAAAGAAAGGCATACAGGTCATATAAGTCCGTTGATATTGTAAAGGCCTTTTTAAGACAGAAGTACAAGGCCGAACAAAAGCGTAAACTTCAACGTGTTCTTGTGAAGATTCTCGACGTTAGTAATTTGTTTTTGACCAGACATATGTAAATACTAATTTCATGAGTTTAGGTTCCACAACAAACCAATAACCACGACTGTGGTCTACATCTCCTTCGGTCTGCCTCGCTGTTTATGAACCCAGCAGCATCCCTTTACACAAGATTTGCTTCGGTAAGGATTATAAAATTTTTAAGTAATCCTGTCTATTAACTTGTATTGAATTTTAGTCCAAGAAACCTATCTCAGCCGAAGATAATATCTTCAGAACAATTAAAGTATCCACAAGAAATGAATTGTCCAGAAGTATACAGCTCCTTATTGCCAGGGGCCGTATTTAAATATCTTTACTGTTTGATACTTCTAACACCATCAAAATAATTTACAACAATATACCATTACAATTAAACATTTTTTTAAATAGTAAGATAGTTATGTATACCTTTTTTTTTTTTTTTTTTGGGAGAGCGGGTGTGGTATTTGACAAAATTCATACAATTGGAAAGTAATGAGATAAAAGAATATTTTTTATTCGAGGTAAAGAAAGACTAGAAGAACTCTGCTGCGATGAATTAATTGATCTTTTTCTATTGAACAACTTCTCCTGGTAGTTGTGTCGAGTCAAACTTTCTGGTCATCTGATAAATCTATACTCAGTTTCCCGCTTTACATGAAATGAATTCTACTCGTTAAAATTTATTTCAAGTGTCGTCGCCCTGAATCAACCGATCTGGGACACTCTTATAGTTCCGTTTAAAATACAGAATACCAGTAAGATATTGTGTAACGGTAGCTTGTTAAAAGATGCATAAGGTTTTTATGTTTTATTGGCGGTGTAGGACATCTAGTAATGTCTGATCATTTATCCAATCGGTTGATTATTTTTATCTAAGACTTGGTTAAATATGTGATCATAAATATAGAACATCTTATCGGTGCTTGGATATTTAGTTGTAGAAAATAGGCATCCAAATATTCCATGCACTATTTCTCTTACACACTTACAGTCGTATAAGATGTGTATATCAATATATAAGTAAATGAACAATTTATAGAAATATCTGTTCTATTCTCTCTATAGGTACACCAAGGCTATAATTTTTTGCCTGATCCGTCCATTTGGACGAATTTTTAGTAAGTGTTTACCCATATACTCAAAAAAAACGAATTGGGTAAATTTACCCATTTACTCGTTCAGACGAATTTATAGTAAGCGTTTACCCATTTACCCAAAAAAAAAAAAACCGGATTAAATGCATAATTAAGGGGGTGTATATTTTAAAATCAGCTCTCCCTTTCAGCCTTCAGCCAAATAAAAAACTTTCAATTATACATATTGAATCATTTAATACATTCATTCGTTTGAAAAAATTGGTTTGCAGTTTTAAAAGTTGATTATATATTTTATTTAAAAGAATGAAAGTAAGATTTATTTATATTTTGATACTTGAGGACAAATTGCCATGTAGAAGGATTACTACTTAAATGAGCTAAAAAGTAAACGGTACATGGCATAACATGAAGGCATTGATTATTCTGTATAGGAAGCAACGTATAATCTAAAAACAAGGGGGATAACCAAAGTTTTCTAAATGAATATTAGGTTAGTTAATGATAAGAAGACTCAAAATTGATACGTACTAATTCCTTTGCTAAACAGAGTAGCCGCCACAACGGTAAAAGCAGGAAGCGTAAGTCTGAAGAGATAATTAGAAAAAGGAAAAGCCATAAACGAAAAACACTTACTTATAGCACTGGCGTAGTACACTGCAAGCACGGCCTTTATACACCTGTCTATGCTAATTTAAAAGAGAGATATGTAAGGGGAGGGACTTCAGAGATGGAATGATGAGTTTACCAGAGTGTAATTGCAAAAGAAGTAAGTCCAGACGTTTATTCAGTTACATGGTTACAAGAAACAAGAACGAATAAAAGTAATTTTATTTTGAAAAAAAACTGATTTATTGAGGTAAAAAGATAAAAAATAGATATTAAAAAAGAAAAAAGAAAAAAGAAAAAAGGAAAAAGGAAAAAGGAAAAAGGAAAAGAAAAGGAAAAAGAAAAGGAAAAGGAAAAAGAAAAGGAAAAAGAAAAGGAAAAAAAAAGACTCCGTTTATATGTACTTTTTAGAGGTTGGTGTTACGACGGAGGGATGACTGGAGGCAGATAATTTTTTTTGTATACGCGGCTTCTTGACAACAGGACACTAAGACAGATACTCGTCTGCTTCAGGTAAATGGAATGAATGAGTAATTTTAAGGTTTGGATCTCAATTTTTATTCACCCAATCTGGGTAAGTATCCGCCCATAGACGAATGCTCGTCTGCTGCAGGAAAGTGGAACGGATGAAGTGATTTTTATTTACTCAATGTGAGTAAGTATTCGCCCATAGACGAATACTCGTCTACTGCAGGTAAATGGAACGGACAAAAAAGCTTAAATTTTTGGGTAACCTATATATTTTACTCAAAATGAACGAACAGTTACCCCTGGACGAATATTTACACTTTTTGAGTAAATGAAGTAATTTTATTTTTTGAGTACCATTGTTTATTTACCCAAAATAAACGGATACTCGCTCACGGACAACTATCCGCTCAGATTTGAACGGATGCTTCCCCCCAGACGACTATTCGCCCATTCGTCCGCATTTACTCTGTTTAAGTAAGTTTTTTTAGCCTAGGTGATAGTAATAATTTCTACAGCAAGAATTCCCTTCATGCCAAGCATACCATACAGTCGCATGACCCGTTCTCCCCCTGACTTTTTTGACATAAAATGAAGCTGATGGAACACCATTTCGAACCATCTCGTCTTGCGCTTCACTGGCACTATAAAAGCGGTGTAACATGTACTCCACATACGTCATATATTGGTAGAATGCCAAGAAATTTCGCAACACGTGACTGGTACGATTTTTAAAAGTGATGGTTTTTTCAATCTGGGTGATTCCGCCAGTAAATTCTTTAATATCAGCTGAGCCCAATGATCGTCTAAATGCGTCACCAATTCCAATTTGATTAACCAAATTATTTAATTCTTCGGCTCTTTCTGTCAATGTTGTTAAATATGCACGCGTATTATTTTTTTCTAAGCGAATCACCATTTTGCTTCGAAGATCATCATAAGCTTGATCTGGAATTTCACTTGCTGATGCTGTTGCTGCTTCCGCTGTCAATCTTGACGCAGCATCTACTGCCGCTTGCACCTCTTCTACCACAGTCGATCCTCTTGCTGCAGGTGCTCTATCTGATGCTGCTGTTGTTGTTGTTTGTGTTTTTGTTGCTGCTGCTGCTGTTGAAGCTGTGGTTGTTTCTGCTTCTGCTGCTGAAGCTGTTGTTGCTGCTGATGCTGCTGCTGGGACAGACAGGGTCAAGATACCAGAGTCAACTGCCAATGTCACATTGTCATTCAATGTGGTCATGACGGGTAATGGCTCACCATCGAAAACCACACAATGGTGGCTGAAGCCTCCAAGAAGAGTCGTTTCCCCTTGCTTACCAATAATAAAACCGGCTCTTGTCATTAACCGTTTGAGTATTTCCAATGCTTCGTTTGGTTTCTTTTGTAAGTCATTGTGAAATAAACTTCCAACTTGTTCGAAATGTTGCTCATCCATTTCAAAAAAAATTAAAAAAAAAGAATAAAGAACAACACTTTTGAAAAAACCCCCCTTTTTATAGCCCCTCGATTTTTAAAAATACCCCTTTTTTTGGCCGTAAATAAATATAGGTCAAGAACTGAATTCTGATTGATTGGGTATGGTTACACAGACATCCGGGTACTCGAAAATTCGCCAAAATTCGGGCGCTTCCGTAAAACAACTTTTGAGAGTCTGCGATTAAAATTGACGGAGTAATTATTGGTCATAGTTTTAAAATTCGGTTATTAAATTATTTTGGAGCGGCTAAACACCGTGCGTGGTCATCCGTAGATGTATTAGACGTGTAATTTAAGCGCGCATTTAATGCAATTTATTTGATGTGTCTGTGTTTGAAATTAATGGAGTAATCAGCTCCCAAAGTTTGGTATTGTTGTTTGTTGCTAATAAATTACTTAGGGAACAGTTTAGGAGGTCATCCGCATATGCATTCTATGTCCAATTTTATCGCGCTTCGGATGCAGTTATTTTTAAGTTTCTGACTTACGAATTGAGCAAGTAATTAGCTTTAAATACATTGTGTTTTGGATTTGTTAATTATAAATCACTTACGGAACAATTTATGAGGTCATCCGCATATGCATTCTATGTCTGATTATAACGCGCTTCATATGCATTTAAGTTTAAATTTCTGAAATACGAATTGAGCAAGTAATCCGCCTTTAAAGTTTATCTATATCATATGCTGATTATTAACCGCTTTGTTAATAGCTAATGAGGACATCAGTGTATGAACTTGACCTCCAACTTTAGCGCACATTAAATAAAACTAGAATTAAGATTCTGAATGGACAATCGAGGGACCAAACGTTCGTCCGATTTGTAAAAGGTTTCTTGCAGTCATATATCACTCGTACTTTTTGACATACAGTTAAGACCAGTTATGACTGGTTAAATATTCAAATTGATGGTTCATACCCGGACTCCGTTAAATATACAAATACCTGGAACTCCGGTTATGACTGGTTAATTATGGTAATACCTGTACCATCCTTTTGCATTAATTATCTTAAAGACTGCACCATCCTTTAGCATTAATTATCTTAAAGACTGTACCGTCCTTATGGATTAATTATCTTAATACCTGGATATATAGCATGGTTTCATTGCACTAAATTTTATAGATGGGGACATGATACTGGCTGCTTCTTTGATGATTCATAATATAGCTTTGGTATTACTGACTTGATATTTGTCATATCTTACATATGATCGTACATCATTGGCTTTAATAATCAAGATGATGATGAATTCCTTTTTATTACTGGATTACTTATAGCATCTATTCAGATATGCTTTACGATCATTGGATTAAATTATAGAAAAACACGTATTCCAATGGGCTTAATAATAGGATTTATGGGATGAAAAGAATTTTATTTTGTAAAAAAAAACACGTATACACACTAGATCTATTTACACATTCCAAATTATAAAACTTACCTTACCGTGTACTTGTTTGGGGTCCTATAGTCATCAGGGGAAGTAAAAGAGTATATAGTTTTATAACCATGGGGTTCACGTCAAATACAATAAACGAGTAGAAAGCAGCGTTTCGTAGTTATGTTTACTAAAGAGAGCTATTGGCGCAGTGAGACAGCGAGACAGCGAGACAGCGAGACAGCGAGACAGCGAGACAGAAAATCAGCAAGACGACTGAAAAACGAGGGAGTCCTAAGGCGAGCGTACGTTTACTATTCTTGTCAACCAGTGCGTATATAGTTTTTGACAACGATGATATTTGAGCAGAATGCAAAAGAGGGCTTGAAGTTGGGGCATAGCTTGGAAATCTATTTATAAGACAATACGTTAGCTGAGCGAGACAGTATGTTGTAAATCTTACCCTGAAGAAAGTCAAAAAGGAGTCATAAGAAGCAGTTTTACGGTCATTAAGTAGGCGAAGATTAAGATGGCACCAGTAAAAAGTAGGAATCTAATAACAAACAATTAATATGATAGTCAAAAAGCATGGTATATATAACTTACCGATATCAAGCTGCAAAAGGAAGAGCATTGTTGGAATCATTATAAATAAAGTCTTGGCAGTCTGAAACCTGTGTTCATAATTAGGTTTTTATTTTTACCCATTCTCATGTTGAAGTTACCTCTTATTGTCGTGGTGCATTAGGCAACCATACGTAAGCTAGCCGTGCCAAAAAGCCAGTAGTAACCAGAGTCTTGTAGGCATCTATGAAAGATGATTGTCAGTCTTCGACACGTTTCAGAAGGACTGCTTATCTTACCATTTTTTTTTTTTAAAAAAAAAGGATGCCCGAGTAATGACGCAAGTAAAACGAAAGCCTGTTATTTTGTTAAGAGAGAGCCAACAAAGGGGATTAAGGCCAAGAGAAAGGAGACAATGCGTTATGCCAATGTAGAGGAAACAAGACCTGTCATAGAAAAAAAAAGGCAGGAGGACGATTAGTTTCGAATGAGAGGCGTGGCATTTTTTAAGGTTCTTACTATAGGGACATATGTAGGCCTGGGCTGGTTACCTCTTTTAATTGAACACTATACAAGAGTAATGTTAGCTGACATGTTAACTCTTATAAAATAAAAGAATATTACTTACAGAAAAAAACTTTTTTTTTTTTACAAAAAAAGGAAAAGAAAAAGAAAGT